GTTTTTGAGATATTCGCGAAAAACCACAAGGGGGGTGTTCAAACACCCCCCCAGCAGGGCGCGGGTTAAGGTAAAAAGAAAAAATAAATTTTAAGGAATTTTGAAATACACATTTTTTGTCAATTTTGCATCACGATTGTCATCGACCTGTACTGTATATGTGGTAGACGCTAGCTAAAATGCCAGTAGTGACATAAACTCTAAGATATCCAGAGCTAATCAGTAGGGGAGACCCGGGAGGTATGGGCCCCCTGGAGGTATGGGCCATCGCAGTTTTGAAGAAGTGTTGCGTGTTTTTACACATTTGACCGCGTAAACTGGTAGCAGCCATTCCGTTATACAACCCACGTGATTTTCAAAATCTTCCTCAGTCTTCTTTGGCAATGAGCGGTGATAAAGCGTTTTTGCCCTCGTCGAGTAAAATACTGTACATACAGGAAATTTGTGATAAATTTGAACCAGACTCGTTTAATGATGCCAGACCAATGCTAACATTAAGTTTAAAACATGCAAATTAAGGCTAGATAGACCATTTGAAGCTTTCTTGCAAGATTATGAGCTGAGATGCTACGCAAATTCTGGCGTCCTAACCGGGAGGTTCGGGCCATCCACTCCCGTTGATCATAAATCAATAAAAAGATGCTTTCATGGAGTGTCATCTTCAATAAGTTTTATTTTTTGTCGCGCAAGGTTGAAAATTTAGCTTCAAATTTCATTCGAACAGAAAAATATTATATATTTTATTTCATGGTGCATGATTGAGTTTACCAAAATACACATGTGCCCAAGTGACCTCCATGAAGTAAGCTGTTCGCCGCCTATGCGGTTCCTGGGCTCTAAGAGAGATCAAGGTAGATACCAGCAACGAGTATTGTTCTCATTGTCGAGAAAAGGATATGAAACATGGCACCGGCCCATACCTCTCCGGCCATGGCCCATACCTCCCGGTGTATTTTGATGGATCGAAAAAGCGCATGATTTATTAAAAGTTATCTCGAGACAAAATAGTTGATCCCAGATGCCTAATATCAGGCACACTTTGCAAGCGAAAGGCAATTTCACGTGGACACAGTGAAAAACCGGGTGTAGCCACTGCCCACTGGAAGAAAATTGCCTTTTCACAAAACCGGCCCATACCTCCCGGGTCTCCCCTACCTTAATATTTCACTTTCCGTTAATATTTGGAAGACACATAATGGTTTCATCAACTCGTTGTAAAGCGCTGGGGAGGTGGCCGGCGTTACCCCTATGCCGGGCTTACCCCAGAAAAATCAACGCTTTTTAAAACTCGATTTTCTCAACCTTATACTTATTCCACGAAACCGAATTTTTGGGAAGACACAGCCAATGAACTTAGCTAGCTAACAGGATATCAACATTTTATACAGCACGTATGGTATGTAATAAAAATGAAAAAGAGCTTACTATGCCGGGCTTCCCCCGGCTTCCCCTAATGACGCTTCAAGGTCGCTCGAACGCCCATAATAGCCGGTGGCCTAGGATACAACGACTATTGATGTATAATTTTCAGTTCGAGGTCGATCCTTTAGAGGACCACCAACTGCAGCCTCATCGCACTACTGATATTCCCGACCATTGACCACTACATACAATAAAGAAATATGTGGTGGTTTATGCCTTGATCTATGTCATCTAGAGATAGAGCTGTCAATATAAAAGAAAAGCACAATAAAGTTTTATTGTCTCTGGGTAACCATTGACAAAATCATTGAAGTTTTGTCTAGATTCTACCTCTTTGTTAGAACTTTTTCACATTTTTTTAGATGAAAGCAGATGATGATCCGGTTTTCCTTTATAGTAAATGTGGACTTGTTTTAACTATTCGTCCCCCCCCCCCCCCCCACCACAAACCCATCTAGATATTATGTAGGTAGTTCTCAAGCACAATGCGGATGAATTTCGGGCGAGACTGAACTCATGCTGAGCACATGGCCGGTCACATGACAGCCTGGGAGCCCACAGCTGACCTGAGGCTGAGGCGCTCCTTTGATTAATTAATTTACCGCAATTGAATACGCCAAAGCTAAAGACCAGTTATGTAGGAAAACAGACAGATCCAGTAACTAGGTAAAATATGTTATATGTTCAATAACATGAAATACCTATAATGGCGTTCAGCATACGTTATCCTACCTACCAACTAGTTGTTTCATGCTGTCATTGACAACATATTACGAGCGCTATTACGAGCTCGTATTCAGCGCTATTGTAACTATATTACAGGATAACGAACAATCATTGACTAACTGAAAGGAACATATTTTGTGTACACTGGAATGCAATATTTCCATCTGTCTAAAAGAGTGATTTTGCCAATGATGTATTTACACCATGGGTCAATCAATGACCCATTGTGACCCGTCTGGTTGTGTGCGGATCGGTCGGGGAGGCTCGTCAGTCTGATGTAGCGGGCCAGTCCGGCCGGTTCGGATCCCTGTGCAAACGGTTTACTTGACTTGCCGAATACAGATCACGAGACTCTGCTCGGTGTTATCGATCAGAGACTTCATAAACAATGAATGAAACAATGAACTAAAGGCAAGGAACTAAGGCTCTGTATCAAGTATCAACTCATGACGCAGTCTCTGGCTCAGTTGCCGTCTCGCCTCCTCTGTCAGCTCTTGGCTCATCATTCAGCTCAGCTCCAGACTCCATCCACTTCTCAGCCCCTGTCTCAGTCTCTACCTCAGCCCCTGTCTCAGCCCCCGGCTCCGGGCTCCGCCCCGGCGACCTGGGCCAGGTCAGTGATACGACAGGCCTCTGCCGGCACCTGTGACCTCCAGAAGAAGGGCTACGGCGTCATCACGGCAGCTGTGTTCCTGACGTCCACCTCCGTGGGCGCCAACCTGTTGAACGTGCCGCAGATCATGACGTTTCTGTGGCAGTCCAATCACTCTTTCATGTACTCTTTTAACTCTTCTATGCTAAGGCGCAGACAAAACCTAAAAACTAATTAGCTACATTACAAGTGCATTACAAGGTAATCGTACTAAGCACCTAGCACAGGCATTCGTACCTTTTTGCGGCCATTTTGTCTCCTGCTACTGGTGCTAAGCGTCTGTATTGACGTTTGTGCTTGTTACATGGAAAATAACTCACACATGGATAAATTGATATGTATTTATGTACAATGTATAGCTTCATAAACCTACCTAATGATGTAAGAATGATGTAAGGAGGAAAGTCATCTCCAATATGTTTACCGCCGTGCCGTGAGAACTTCCAGGCACAGTGACCTTTTCCGATAAATAAATATTCCTCAATGCAACAGGGTTTTATCATTCCGATAGAGATATCGACGATATTACCACCATCTTATGATGAAAGCAGTTAGTTATGCATAATTTGTGCTAATCGGCAGTGTTATCTGTTGAGAAGTCTTCCCCTCCCCCTCCCGAAGAGGAAGTAACCTTACGTAAACAGTCGTCTGGACGCCATGCTGACCCTGCGCTGACCCACTTTTGCTGTGCCTGCGGTTGGGGGCTCGACCGGTTAATATTTCATAATGGTCACGAGCTGGATGACATGACATAGCTTTCGCATCAAAAACCAGTAACAATAATGACAAACGTCGTGTTTATAGGAGTTGATGCTCACTGGTTTGGTCGGTGTAGCTGCTCATTTCCTCGTTTGTGGCTAGGTGCCAATCGCTAGGATTATCGTGACCCTCCAATGAACAAAATATCACCGCACAGTGTCAGCAAAGTGTCACACATAGGATCCCGGAAAACGGGCGAGGAAACCAAGAAACGATGAATGGACACTCGATACAAACAGCGGGATATCAGAAATAACTTTTGCTAACTATAGTTCCGACAATGGAAAGCAGCAAGCACTGCTCTATTACTTTGTGCTACCTATATACTTTAACCCGCGAGTTGCTGGGGGGGGGGGCGTTAAACGCCCCCACTTTTTTCGCCGGGCCATAGCATAAAAACGGCGCGCCGCAGGCGCGCCAAATTTTGGGTACCTGTAGGGAATTGAATGAAGTTTATTGACACAAAGTTTCAAAAAAATCGGTCAGAAAATTTTTGAGATATCGAGGTTTTAGTGACGTCATGATTTCTGAGTTTTCGACCAAAAACGGCATATGTTCAAAAAATCGTATAAAATCACAAAATAGACAAACAGACATGCCGTAAACGCCATTAGAATGCCAATATCTTGAACAATTAAATGGCTATCTTCGATTATTGATTATCGTTCCGCATTTTCCAAAATCTTGAACTGAACCTTGGCAATTTCTCGTGACTACTTCACGACCATGATACATGCATTTCTTAAATTGAATTTTTTGAGCCAAACACGTACACATATGACAAAATGAATGTCACCATCGTGTTCTACGCCCCAAATTACCCATAAAACATGTGTCACAGGCTGCGAAGATCAGTTTTGCTTTTCGGGGATATGTGCCTACCCGGTTGACCTGACCTTGACCCTGACCTATGCTTGACTGACCCCTACATGGAGCTGACACTCTTGTTGACCTTATATGATGGATTGTGCACCGTTTTGACAGAGTTTATGACGAGAGGCGCCCATTACGAAGTCCTGAAGTCCATGCTACTGAAAGCCCGATTTCAGGTGTTTGACCTGACCTTGACCCGACCTGTGACCTCAAAATTCAACTTTAAAGTACTCATCTAAAGCGTCTCGTCGCGTTCTTTCGTTTGCCGCCTCGCGCGTTTCGCTGCGCCTATTGGTTCTCGAGTTATCGGCTGGGGGCGTTTAACGCCCCCCCCCCCCCAGCAAACGGTGGGTGGCGAAATACCCCAGCAACTGCCGGGTTAACACAATATTTTGTACAAATGCGATTTGTGTAAATGAGTGCATGTCTGGCTGTGAACCACCATTTATGTCGTCATTTCTCAGTCCGGAAGCCGACCCGCCGCTGGCAGGCTGACTGGGCCTGTCGCTGATGACCCTTTGCGTTGCCCCCGGCTTGCCGAGTCTGCCGATGCTGGCCGCGGCTGGGCTTCGAAATAAATACCTTTATTTATTCCAGTGCAGACACTCGAATCGAAAGTATTCGAGAAAAACTCGTATAAAATTGCAAGACAACACTTTTTATAGATAAAACGGCAATGTTGCTTTTCGATATTAATTTTGTACCCATGTGGACGGATGCATTTGCTTAGAGAGCGGTGAGTTCGCAGACAAAGTGGAAGGCCACGTTGCAGTAGGTATCGTCCCAGGCTCCCCCCTCGGTTTTCCAGATGTAGGCACAATCACAATCCGTGTTGTCAGGTTGTCCGGCATCCCAGTTCTGCAAAAAAATCGTGCATTTGTAAGAAGGGAAATATGACTCTCGAATAGCATGTGATTGTGATTACGAGGGAGCGAGCGCAACGAGCGAAGCGAAGTCTTTTCAATATAACGGAAAAATCTCAGTATGAGCGGCCCGGCCCGGCCCGGCCCGGCCCGGCCTGTAACGCTTTTGAGAGGCTTATATCTCAGCAACCGCTGGACCGAATGGCCTGCGGTCTTTTTTGCTGGATAGCCCCATCCCTTCTACCCCGTAACTGACTACTTTTGATACATCTCAGTGACCGCCGTGGCACGTGCCACGTGAAAAGTCAAGGGTGTTCAAGCAGTTTTGCAAAAGTAATGTTTTTGAGAGACCCATATCTCAGCAGCCGCTTGGGCGATTGACTTGCGGTCATTTTTATAGGGTAGCTGCATCCCTTCTACCAAAGGTCGGATACTCTTCATCTATGTGAGTGACCCACACTGCACGTGCAAAATACAACAATAAGAGGGGCCAAATTTGTTCCCATTTCAGTAACTCGGTAATTACTGGGGCGATTTCGCTGAAACTTGGCATACAGGTAGGCACCCACCAGGCAACGCATTCCCATGTGTTGCGGTTAGGGTGCTACTGCACGTGCGCACGTGCAGGGGGCGTTTCCAGATCTCGACGGCTGGGCCGATTGCGCTCAAATTTGGTACATGGTTGGGGACCGGTTAGTAGGATGCCGTGCAAAAGTCATTTTGGACCCCGTTTGCACGTGCGCACGTGCAGAATGCCGCTTCCAGATCTCAGGAACGGCTGGGCCGATTGCGTTCAAATTTGATACACCGCTAGCGACCGGTTAGAAGGGTGCTTTGCACAAGCCCGTTGAAAGTACCCTTTCGCCCTTCTGCACGTGCAGGGCTCACTATCTCGCTCGCTCGTTCTTCGCCCAAAAGGCGTTTTACTGGTAATAATGCTTGATTAATTGAGCGACTAGTTACGTAAATATACACTAGAATCGATACTATTTTTACGTTATTCGGTGAAGTCTAAAATCGTCCGCTCTTTGCAAATTGTGTCAAGTCATATGTCTATTCTACAATCAAGAAGCATGAAAGTTCGCACATTATCACCTAAACGCAAAAGTCCGACAAGTCTCTGCAGTCTGCTGCCTCTTATTTACCGTGTACACCAAGGATTCACCGTTGGCCCACTTCCAGTCACCCTCTGTATCCACATCGTTCAGTCCGATCCACGGCTGAAGATGGCCGAACTGACTGTTGATGAAGGTGTTCTCATCCCTGAATCCACACATCGAATTGTGCTCAATGGTTCTGGTTAGCGTGGATGGATTAGCGATTCATTCTTTCAGCGGCTGGAATTTTGATGCCACGAATTGTGATTATTTACGGACGTTTGTAATTACACAGCGGCAAGGCTACTTTTACGGCAAACATACGGTATTTCCTTTTTGTTTTACAATTATCTACGAGCAGCTGAGTGCGGCACAACAGTCGGCTATATAATCCTCACGTTCAATGTTCTCAATCAACATCTCTATCCATTTGAAATGCAATTCTTTCAATGCATTATAAAGGACCAGTTAAATAAATCAAACGAAAAAAGTCGCTCACTCGGTAGTGATGGAGGTCAGATGAGCGCCCCACTGCATCTCCTCACAAATCTGCCTGGCGCCATGCCATGAGAAGTTTGAGTTGGATCCATAGTAGCAGCTGCCATATTCCAGCTGCTGCCATATCCATATTCCAGCCAGTCGTCGGGGCATAAACCAAGACCACCTGAGGGAGGAGACACATAAAAAAGAATAACACTGACAAATAATGTTAACAAAAGCAAAATATATATAAAAAATATTAGGATCCTAGCCGCTTTGAACAAGGACGAGAAAAAAGCCATCCTGTGTTTGATCGGTGTTTGAAAAATTAATGGTAGTTTGAGCGGATAAAAACAGCAACAGAGACGACATACGGCACATAAAATGGAAGATTCAACTTTAGCATAAGCATGGTTCGTAATGATTGATATCTAATACCGACGAATACCTTCCATAGTTAGAGGTATTTGTCGCTGTTACTCACCGGTCGGTAGCGTAACTAGCAGGGCTGATATTAGCTGGGTTATTGGTGAGAGCGTAAGAGACCGGAGAGGCACCATGGTGAGCAGTGAGAGACTCTGTGATGAGTACTGAGAGCCGGCAGGTGTGAGAACCAGCCGGGGGGGGGGGCGTCCCGACGCGATAGAATCTGTTAGATAGCAGGGGCATCACACCGGGCAGGGGAGCGACCTTGCCGCAGGGAGGCAGAGAGGTTGACAATGCTACATAGGGAGAGGTGAAACGAGAAGGGAGAGGAGACTCATAGAAAGAGAGGATGAGAGAGAGAGAGGGAGAGAGAGAGAGAGAGAGAGTGAGAGAGAGAGAGAGAGAGAGAGAGAGAGAGAGAGAGAGAGAGAGAGGAGGGATGAAGAGCTAGTGAGGGAGGGTTGTGAGTTCGGAGTAGCTAGCTCGGAAAAATCTACCCAGTGATAATTTCTGCGGGGTAAAAACTGGATGAATATCTATCGAACGTAATCGGAGAGTTACAATTATTCACTGCACCATTGAAGTTTGGGAGCAGGTTTAGTTCAATTGTCCTAGCCAAGAATATTTTACTCACTACTTCGAAACAAATAAGGGGTAACTACGTTGCTGGAGAGGGAAGCCTCTGTGTGTGTTCTCGCCCAGCCCAGGAGTTTTTCATCTATCCGAATCGATTGAGATTATGTCTCTGTCGGACGGACTGGGAAGATTACAGGGAGGGAGAGAGAGGGGGAGAGAGAGGGAGAGAGAGAAAAACATGTAGGGGGAGCAAAGAGCAAAGAATGTACAGGATTTATTAAAATGAGTATTTTTTAATTTTATTTTCAACATGAGCTACAATATTTTTTGCCTTTTCGGCTAGATAGCAGATGAAATCCAATTCAGGCTCGCGAGGTACACATCGTTGATCGCTCGTAACGTTTGCGTTAGTGTTACACCTGTCCTCCAAAAACACAACTCCCTGTCCCTGGCGGCCCAAAGTGGAACCATCCGTTCCATGCGCCCTGCCCACGAGGGTGGACGTTGGACGCTCACAGCCCACACCGGTGTGCTGCTCATTGGCGTCGATATGCACTGAGTACTGACGCTCACACGATCGACCGCGCTGCACTCGTCAGTCTGCCGGTGACCCAGCTGGGGCGCTGGTGGTCGCCGCTCGTGGCTCGTGGGGTAAGTAAGGGGTTGGTGTCAGAGGTGGTTAGTGAGCGAGTTGGTGAGGTTAGTGAAGCCAAAGTGGTGTATTGGTGTGGTTTTTGAAGTCACTGCAAAGTGCAACCCGAAGTTGAGCTGCTTTTAGCAGCGACGTAGCTGTCATTTTGATTGAAGTGTTTGATTGCGGCGAATGACTAATCGTAATTGCTTTTGCTTCTAAGAGTATCGCAGTGTCGGTATTTGCCTAAGCATATACACGCATATACATTTACAATACAAGCATATAACCATTTGTCTAAGCATATAGGAGCAACGATATAGAAAGTGCAGGCCGGGATTATTTGATGTAATTTTTTGTTACACCAATAACCCTTTCAATGGTTGTTTGTCTTCTTGATTTATGGCTTGCGCTAATGTTTGCCTGGAAGCGATGCATATGATGAAGTGCTTGTTATCCAAAGGCACGTAAGAACTGCCGGCGCATCACAGTCCACTAAGGTCATGATCATTATATATGTTTTGCATGGAAGATTCGCTTACGCGTATTCAGATTGCCACTAGCGTGCATAGCTGCCATTTTCAGGGAGATTGGCCCACGTTTCCGAGTCGCCTAAATAACTACAAAAACTACAGCGTATAGGCGCAAAATGACGGTTGATATTATGAGTGGTTTATCTTGAAATGCTATCGTCTCATTAGGGATGAAAACATTGGAAATTAATTGCATTTTGTCGCTTATAAGATAAGGGAAATGGTTGGTACAGGGCTATCAGCTGACGAATTTAATATTTGTCGTTTTCTCGTAAAATGCCATAGGGAAAACACAATGGCCTCGTTTTCCTATCTTCTTGCACAGTAAGCGAATTAACCCTCGCCCCGTTGGGGGGGGGCCATTTTGCCCCCCCCCTGTGGTTTTTCCTGAATAGCAAGAAAACGGCGGCGCGCAGCACCGCCAAATTTTCAGTACCTTCCCGGGCATCAATTTGACACCTTCACACCAAATTTCAAGTCTTAGGTCACCTTAGGTCAGGAGTTATTGAGGTCAAACTGAGGTCATGTTCGAGCAAAAATGAGCAAAAAACATGCAATCTTGAAACGCTCACCAAATCTACAGTTATCAAGCAATTTCAAAGTTCTTTATATGGTCTAGTAGACAAAAAGCGGCGCTACAAAACTGTTATCTCGGATTTTCAAAATTTTGGGTTTTTGACCCAAAAAATTTCAAAAAACTGATTTTTTTATAAAAACTAAAAAAAATCCAAAAGTTTTCCGAATTTCGGAAAAGCCGGAATATATGTGATAGTCCCTGCGCTCTTCTATATACATACCAAATTTCAGATCGATATCTCGTTTTTTGGCCAAGTTATAGCGAAAAAAACTGTTCAAAAATGATGACGTCAAATTTTTGAACTCAATTTTTAGCGATTCTAGACCTCGTACGGCAAAACAAAGACCACCATTGAACTCCCCGTGACGAGCTGCATCGATTCGATACCCATTTTATGCAAAAATATCAACTTTGAAATTTGACCTAATTTGACCTGACCTTGACCTGACCTTGACCTGACCTTGACCAAAACGTGACCTAAGCTGGCCCCAAAGGCTGCCTGACCCACATAATCGCATTTGTCATGTAAAATGGACCATAAAACATGTATCACACGACACTTTCATATTGTGACCCCCCAGTGACCTGACCTCTGTGACCTGACCTGGTATCAGTGACCTCAACTAGCAAAATATGTGTTTGAAGAACATTTCCCCATCAATGATTTTCAGTGAAATGCATTTTACTCGATTTTACAGCGCATTTCTTGAAATGCCTGTAAACGGTGAAAATTGGACCTTTGACCTGACCTGTGACGTCATCGGTTTGACCTAGGTCAATAAAATTGGGTCACAAGGTAGTTCCCTGATAGGGCTATCCAACACCGTTTGCCGCTTGTCGCTACGTTGCGTGGTTCTCGAGATCTTAGGGGGGGGGGCCAAAATGGCCCCCCCCCAACGGGGCGCGTTGCTCGGCAGAGCCCAACGGGGCGCGGGTTAATAGAAATTAGTTTACCATGAAATATGGTATTTCAATGGCGAGTTATCTTGCTGATTTGCTGGATGTTCTCCCAGGTAAAAAAGCTACCAGACACCTTCAGCTTCAGCAAACCTACCAGAACACCCTCAAAACATTTGGAGAGTTCTCGGCGACATGATGAGCTTTCGGTCCGGTATAACAAGAAGCGCGAGGGCATTCTTCTTTTGGATTGCAACTGCCGTGCTCCTGATGGTGGGAAGTCTGCAGATTTATCAGTCACAACGGTACTTCAGAAACTTCGGTAAGTCACTTTGTTGAGATGTGCTGCAGTGATGTACTTACGTCGTACTAAGTAGTTACTAACTAAGTACTAAGTAATAAGTAGTTAGGTCGAATAGTTGGATGGTAGGCGTTGAGTAGTGATGTAGGTGCGTACTTGCTGCTCATCCTGGTGAATCGGAAGCAGCATCAGACAACATGTGCATTATGCAGCTTCAAGAAAGTCTTTATCACTTGTGGCCAGTAGCGGCGGAACGCCTTCGCCCTTCAATTAAGGGGGGGGGGGGGCACTGCCGACTTTTGGTCCCATTCTTTCCATGCAACGCCCATTGGGGTAATGTTAAAATGCCAAAATCAAAGGGGGGCACGGTGCCCCGGTGCTCTCCCCGTTCCGCCGCCTATGTTTGTGGCTTATTGTAAGTAACATGATACGGAGGTGGACTGCGATCTATACCAACTATGTTTATTTTTTGTTAATAAGGTAGTTAATTGGCGAACTACATAACAAGGTATTGAAAAGAACATACAGTTTTTTTTAAGAATTTCAAAGTGTATTGTAGAAATTGTATCGGTACATTATCATTTCTATAAAATCCGTATAAAATTGTGCGACATTTTATAGAGGTCGTAACTCGTAACACATGGCAGAACATCTTTCAAAAAAATGTCACAAAAGACATCTGCGTGACTTACACCTTGGCCATATGCTTTCGCCATTTTAACAAGTTGGCCTAACGGCATTCGCCGCTCAGCCATAGCACAGACCGTCAGATTCTATTATAGATGTACTGTTAGGTCGGAATTTTTCCCTTTATCACACTCGTCAGTAATTGTAGTTTTTATATCAGCCGCGTGGCATCAGTCCACCTGGGCAGAATGGATCGCCCCAGCACACAAAAAGTAACGGCCCGCGGCCATGGGAGCCTCAACAAATATGTCAAGCTCGAGTTTCAAGCGGTGGCGAAAAATTATTTTGTATCACTAGTGTACTACGCGATGAATTTTAGTAAATCTCTGCAAATACGTGCAACGTTTGTGGTCATCATCAGCATCATCATCAACCAGTTTATTAAACATTTTGTAAGACATTGCTTTTAACATGCTGCAGACAGACGCATAAGCGATTCGCTTGATTTGCAGCGTCGTGTCTGAAATCAAACTTATTAAATAAAGATACACGAAACAAGGTACTGCGAAAGAATATGTTGAAATGGCGAAGGGTATGTACATTTTTAACTGTTATTTACGTTCATCACGTCGCCCAGCGCTGCTAAAGCGAAAACTTAGCTCTTGTTGATGAAAATTCATGAAGATCTAGCGAATCCTTTCCACGATGCTCTTTATCTATTTGTTCACCAGCTATAAGCAAAATTTCCATAAGCGTCTTATTCTGATTTTTTTACTATTTCTTACCTCTGGCGGTTTGATGTCTTACATTTAATCATGTCTTAAAATAATGGAAATGCCTACACGTGACGCTACAGCAGCGAATTATGTATGTATATTCGACGGATGGTCCCAATTTTTTCATTAAGTTGCCCTCCCTCGCTGTGCGGTTGGGTGGCCGCTAGACCGGGGCATATATAGTGATCAAGGATGAATGATAGGATGGGTTGGCCCTGAGGATAGAAAGGATGGATGTGTTCCTAGTCGGATTTGTCTACCACTGAAACGCTCATCGCCTTTCTCAGGACTGAGAGATTCGAGGATTCATTCGATCCAGCCTTATCCAGCAAAGCGTCGCTACCTTTTTCCCGGAGTGCTTCAGGGCCCATCAAACGCGATGGTACAGCGACGAAATTAATGTTAACCCTCGCCCTGGCAGGGGGGGGGGTCGATGCGACCCCCCCCTAAGGTTTTTCGAAGATAGCGTAAAAACGGCGGCGCGCAGCGCCGCCAAATTTGGCACAGCCTATGGGGCAACCTTTTTACATATGACCTGAAAATTTCAGGTCCGGGTGACCTTGGGTCAGGTCACCAGGTCAGAAAAACCGGTACAAGGTCATGGTCAAATTTCAATTTTCTTTTTGCACCTGTCCAACTCACAGTTTTGGACTGATTTCCTTCAAACTTTCAGGATGTGCTAAGTTCACCGAGTTGTATAACATATAGTTCGGGTTTTTTGAGGTCACTGACCTGAGGTCAGTTAGAGGTCATTACGTCGTAATGTTAAGCCTATGGGAAAATACTAAATTCCGAAAATACTGGAGATATCTACTTCTTTCTATCACTTTTGTGCTTTGAATCCATAGTAAATAACAGCAGGTCACTTGGTGCTTCGTTGTTTGGTGTACTTATCCATGGGTCAGGTCAAATGAGGTCAACTGAGGTCAAATGACGTTTTTGCCAATAACTTGGCACATAATGACGCTAGAGCTTTAAAAATGGTATCATTGTGTTCCTGGTGATCAGCCGAATCGAATGATATGCGATATGATGCAATTTGGTTAACTTGAACTTAATTTATAATTTTAAGTTTACTTAAAATTTAAGAAAAACTTTAAGTACACTTAAGCAAGCTAAAAAGTATATCATTCGACGCGCCTTGACGTGCTGAGTTCACTGGTGCTTTTCTTTTTGCTCTATCTTAATTAGATTAAAAGTTATAAGCGAAAAACTTTTGACCCGTTTTTAGCGAAATTTTTACATTAATACCCCCCAAAACCCCCCTAAATATTGACCTAGAGCAACCAAATTTGCACAGGGGCGAGAACTCCAGGGGGCCCACCTACCTACCAAATTTGGTGTTTCTAGGTGCCATAGGAGCCAATCGCGAGGGGGGGGGGGTCGCATCGACCCCCCCCCCCTGCCAGGCCGTGTTATGAAAAATGCCCTGCCAGGGCGAGGGTTAAAAAGTTGCACACAATGCATAGGTGCACCATGACGGAACGCTACTGTAGCAGGTTCGATTACATGGATAGCTCAGACAGTATCATTCATTTTATTCAAACAATCACACAGACACCAGCAGCCTTTGTGGCGGATGTTATGTTGTGCTGAACTGATGTGTTGATTGTATATAATGATGGCTGACATGGTCTGTGAAAAATCTACAGACCATTGCAGATTTGTAGTTGAATATCGCTGTCATGTGGTATACCCACTGGGCTGAGACGCTAGTATTCCCCCGGTATTTGCACATGATCGCGGCTCATTGGTCGGGATAGACATGCTTTTGGTTGGCTACCTTTCTTTACAAAGCACGCCGCTAAAACATGCTCTATTACGCTGAGACGCGAGTCGTAACGGTCCGGATGATCCATCATCTGTCTTTCGCCGTATGCACCGTGCACACCTCCTGGACTTCGTGAGCTGCCCGATAGGATCTCAGGTCATCGTGAACTCTGCGCCCGAGTCAACCGGGACGAACTGACCGAGGGATGATCGGCCTCTTTCGCGGTTGGATAGACCCAGATTGACGGTCACGGTTGGAAAGACGGCGATCCGCCGCAGCCTGCGTAGTCTCTACATATGATGTGTTTGGATGCTCCGAATCCGATGTTGGCATTACACATCAGTCAACAGTAATTCATGTGATACATTTAATACCGAAAAGATATAAATGACGTTTGTACTTATTAACCCACGAGCCGCTGGGGGGGCATAAAGTTGCCCCCCCCTTACGTTTTGTGAAATATCTCCGAAACCTGATGAGCTACGAACGTGAAACTTGGCATAGCTTCAAATGAATACCTAGGCAATGTTTTAGGAAAGTTTGGTGGTTGTAGCACCTAAGATGACGTCACAGTGACGTCATAAAGTTTTGTCGTTTTCCGATATGGACCGTTTCTGATGACGCTGAGCATGAAACTGGACTGTAAATGAACTAGACAGCACCTGCTGTCATCCTAAAACATGTTACTACACTTCCATCTAGTTTCTGACCAATAATCGGCCCTTTATATTCGGTCCCATATATGTGATGTATCGTGAGGAATATGAGAGTCGCAAATCTATAATTTCACTTATGACGTCACTGTGACGTCATTTCAAATGGGATCGACACCAAATTTGGACACAGCCTCGGCTAGGTATTCAGGAAGATGTGTGCAAAGTTTCGCTTCTCTATCTCTTCGCGTTGCGACGATATCGTCGCAGAAGTAAAGGGGGGGCAACTTTATGCCCCCCCAGCGGCCGGCGGGTGGCGCGGAGGCCCAGCGGCCGCCGGGTTAAATAATGTCAGTGACACCAATAGTATAATCGAATGCGGCCGCCATGAGCATAAATACATGAGCATCATGGTGCGTATACTGACGAGTGACGCGTTTGAGCAATAGAAATTCAGCAAATGCTCTCTAATTGTATTATATTGTATTGTATTGTACTGTATTGTATTGTGTATTAGAGCAGCTTCCACAATGTGGCTGTTACGGTTCCACGTCAGGTCCACGTCAGGTGTACCTACAGCACAGCACAAAACTCACAACCCATCCATATTTGGCCACCATAAAATCGTTAATAAAATAAAATAAGAATAAAAGATAAAAAGTCATGATGAAAGGTGTTTTACAAGGATCGCAGAGCTGCTCAGAAGAGCTGTCCCGCGCCGCATTGGGGAGCGGCCTCCAGGTGGCAGCTCCGCGATAAGAGAAGGCTCTGCGGCTGGACTCAGGCCTTGTGCGCTGCAGGTGCAGGTCACCGCCTTCGGACGGCCTCGCGTCGCTCGAGCGGATACGTCACTCCGAGGTGACGGTCACGTCACTCCTGATCCACCCAATGCGCTTGTTCGGATCTCCCCTTCCTGAGCGTAGGTATATACGTGAGCGTGACACCAATTTGCATAGTGCATATGTGAGGTCCGGGTCAACTCATACCCAGTGGCCAGCTCAGTGCAGCGTGAGCTGGCAGATGTGACTGACCTGAAATGACCGAAACATCTGCGATCAGGTCTTCAGCTCAAGCATTAGCTCGCATCACCGCCTGTTTTGCACCGAGCAACACGTTAATAACTCACCCAATTAAGCAGTCATGAGTGACATAAGGAATTATGAGTGAATGATGCATTCAGTGTCACGGCCACATGCAGCAACTATATAACCCAGTACAGTGATTGATTACCGGTTGCATCCAGTTTTCTCTCACCAGGGTTCCATGACTGTGATTCAGGCATGGTTCCACTGGCAGCGCGCTGCACGGATGCTGGCTTCTCCCGGATGGAGGTCTGCATTCTGACATTGTGGCCGGCTGTGGCCACGGCTGGCTGCACCACTTCCCTTCCCCCCCCCCATGGCTGTTCAATGGCTGTAGGGTGGGGTGGCTGCAAAACAAAAATGTTTTTACAGTTGCGAGCTATTCCATAAATGTTCCGAAAGCACGGCGATACCCACGGCACTGAGCTTTGGACCTGAATTTTGCAAGCTAAATTCAACATTCTGGCGAGCAATCTATTTTGAGAGAGAGAGAGAGAGAGAGAGAGAGAGAGAGAGAGAGAGAGAGAGAGAGAGAGAGAGAGACAGACAGACAGACAGACAGACAGACAGACAGATGAGAGAGAGACAGATGAGAGAGAGAGAGAGAGAGAGAGAGAGAGAGAGAGAGAGAGAGAGAGAGAGAGAGAGAGAGAGAGAGAGAAATAGAGAGAGAGAGGGAGAGAGAGAGAAAGAAAGAAAGAAAGAGAGAGAAAGATGGAGAGAGAGAGGGAGAGAGAGCGTGAGAGAGAGAGATAGAAAGAGAGAGAGAGAGAGAGAGAGAGAGAGAGAGAGAGAGAGAGAGAGAGAGAGAGAGAGAGAGAGAGAGAGAGAGAGAGAGAGAGAGAGCGAGAGCGAGAGAGGTACCAACAGCTTTGAAAGTGATGGAATTTATGAAAACTTATGCTTGCTATTAAGCGGGGGGGGGGGGAGGTCGGGTGAACCTTTGGCCTGCGACCCTTTCTTGAGACCATGTCAGGCCAGAATCACGATTGGATGCAAGTCAGCGCACATTATCTGTGCACGTCCATCGTCCATACTTTTTGTAATTAGAAACGTGCCAACATGTGAAATCATGTCAGGCCAAATGAAATATGGCTGGTGCCAAGTTCAGATGAGTGTCACTTTACGGTCATTGACCTTAGATAAGCTCAGTTGACATTTTTGGTTTTACAACATTTATAGTAGTTTTTTTTAGCTGATTTTAACTTAGCACTAATTTGAGTTGATGGGTTAAGTTGAAGTGACACAATTTATAGCTTTGATATGATTATGGTACGAAACAAAAATAGCCAACTTACAATTCAGCACCTCATGCAATGCACATACATACAAATATGTTTCGATTTTAGGTGCAACTGCCGCACTGCCTGAAGTGTACTATTGAAGTCACTTGGGTTATCTGTCGCAATCTCAATGTCCCAGCACTACGTTTTTGTTGTTGTTTTTTTTTTATACTTAATTCTGACTTCTGGCGTTTCACCTTTCAGGCCCGCTGTTTGTCAACTGCAGTCATCGCTACTGTCTTCCTTCTGGCCTTTATGGCCAGATGTCGGTGGGCTTACCGGGTCAGAAGGCCTTTTACGGCGTGCCAGCAGGTAACGTACCGCACGGTTCGCGGGTTTACCAAGTCAGGAGACTATTTATGGTGCACCAGCACGTAATGTGCGGACCGCGTATTGGACTGGCCACGCTAACAGCTGAGGCAGCAACATTTAGTTCATTTGCTTCGAATAGTGTTCTGGAAGTACACCTATCATTGCGTTAAAGTACACATAATATCGTTCGGGATGTTTCCCATGAAGTTCGGAATCAGCATTAGCGTAAATGCGTGCAAAGCGTTGCATATGCCGCAGTGTTATGTCATGGCACGAAATGAAGATACAAATATATTTTGTCACATTAGCAATGCTTAATGGCACTAGGAAATCGATGGCAGGGGTGGCGTAGAAACCAGTTTGCTACTACGTAGTCGTAGGTACTGTGCCTCTCCATTCGGCAAATAATCCTCTTTACCTACAAATTACTATAGTTGCCACAAAACGTTTGCAGTTTTCGTGTCAGGTGCGGCTGTTGGCTGTCATGTTACTACAGTTCTCTGTGCGCTAAAATACGATGTCCTGAGACCTCTTTCACCAATAATCAGCTTCTGGTGCATCTGACACACCACAAGGCTCTACCGTAACGCTTTACTTATCAATTTTGCCAAACAACTGTAGCTGCATGTTATGAGCTGTTCCAAAATAATTGACCTCCGTAGGTTCTGATTGCGAAGTAGTTTGCCGACTTTACCTCGCTAGGCATCCTGGTGCAAACCTCAGTGCTACTATTCCCAATCTTCTCAACTCTGGGGCTGTTCGAGTTTCGCAATGCTTTTCGTAACCTAACCGTTATGTCCTGTGTGCATCATGACCGTTATGACCGTTTCCGCTACGTCCTGTCACTCTGCAACAGCCATCAATCTTCGCTCCACTCTGTATTTTGCAAACCTGTGCTACTTCCTGCCACCCCTGCGCCCCATTGATCGTTCTACCAGTCACTGAACCTCCCTTTCAAAATAGCTGGGAGGGGACAGCGGGAGGGGAGGGCCCCGACTATGGGAGACCCCCCAGGGCACTGATCAATGCGCACACACGCTCATTGCCATTGCATCGATCCCTTTACTGCTGTCGTGTTTTGGTGACAACATGGCACATCCGCTGTGATGGGTGTATATCTTGTATGAATACATTACGACGCACGTGCTTCGTGGTACGCCTTTGACCTCGAAACTTGTGTGGGTGTGTTCTCTATTCATGGAATGTAGTGTCATGTGTACATAATAGGTTGAATGTTTATTTATCTTCTATGGTGTCAACACATTATTTCGTGACAAATGCTAGGGCGGTGAATCTATTGAGCGTTTATACCACATTCAGAAGGTTTCCGACTGAAAGCAGCCAGTCTGCATCGGTATTGCAGGCATTCTGTACTGACTATTGTGTCTAAATAATTGTCAACTGCTGTGGATTCACGAATTTAATCGTCTTACCCTTACATGCAAGTGAAACTTTATGTGGTGGCGTGAGGGCTTATTGCCGGTGAAGCAAAACTGATGTGTGGACTACAGACAGGGGCGTCCCCGACGGGGGGGTCGCGGGGGTCGCGACCCCCCAATCATGAGAACCGGGGGGGGTGGGTGGGGGGTGGACCCCCCACTTTTAGCGATGCTGAGTATGCCTTTTTGAGCTATCTTGTCAGTGAAGTTGGCGTCAGCACTCAGCAACATCATTAAATACAACGTCAGATTCAGAATCGCTTCAAGAGCTCCCTAGTCCCTCTTGCTTATAGTTCAATAAGCTGTGGGGTGGAACATCAGCATGACAATATTTTAAAGTAGCCACTATTCTAGTTCCTTTTTATCCCTCAAAGGAGTGGGCGCGCCAAAACTGACCCAAGCGTTCGTCTGAACTCTGATTGTCAAAATAATGGTTGCAGTCGATTCGTCGGATGACGTATCAACTATCAGCAACTACGAGGTACCTACCAAGCCTCAGCCCTGGCTACCCTCCGGCCTGCCTGCATAGGGGGAAGGGGGTCAGATGGTGGACCCCTCTCGGGCTTTCCCAATAAGACGCTGAAAAGGAGCCTATTGCAACGAACCTTCCAGTGACCTCGAGTTTATCAATTTTACACCTACTCTAAAATTTATTGGCCCTGATTCGAATATAGATAACCTTGGTTCAGTTTTTCGAGTTTTATTTGCTTCCATTTACAAGTGTAGTTCTTGAAGCTGATTTCGAGTTTAGCGCCCGTTTGAACATAAGAAGTAGTTTTGATAAAGGTTATGTAACATGTTACGAAGCTATCGGTGGTGGTTGTCACCCACTCTAGATGGCCGGCAGGAAGCCTGTAGGTCGACCTGACCTGACCCGACCCGATCTACCCCAAATGCATGAAGTCATCATCTTTGTTCAAAACTAACATGGAAATCGTACTCGGGACCCCGATATCAGCTACGGCTCACAAAGTTCTAGCAGGTCCCAATTTTCCCTATATTTTTGGGCGTTGACATAAGATGACCCGGCCAAGACCTTGAAATTGGGCATCATCGGCTTTCTTTCATCACGGGCAGCATTCTCGCGTTTCTGCGAAGCTCTACCTCGATCAGGGGCCGAAAGCATACCTTAGCGTTACGTTGGTAAACGTTTTACCTTAGCGACCCGTAAAACACGAATAAGAGCTACAGCGACACAGAAAGCGTATTCGATAGCTTTTTTAACCCGCGCCCGGCTGGGGGTCCTGGATTTCCACGCCCTGCTGGGGGGGGGGGGGGTGTTTGAACACCCCCCCTTCTAACTCGGCTCCTGGGCCACGTAGCGATACGCGGAAGGCGGCGTTCGAAAGAGCGTCAAAAATAATGAGGAAATCACTTCAGTCAATTTTTTGGTCAGGTCAAAGGTCAGGTCACCAGAGGTCATTGAAGGCAAAATTTCGCCGATTTCCAGGTCAAATGTCGACAATTTCCAAGAAGCCAACGCATAACTCGGGAACCAATAGAGCTACAGCGCCGCGGAAAAGCGCATTCGATAGCCCTATTAACGCCCTTTCTGAGCAATACTCTCAGATTTGACCTAACGTCAACGGTTTTGCCTGCAGAGTGCAGGGGGCAAAAACTGCAAAAATAGCCGATTTTTTCGGAAACAGTTTTTCTGCAAAACTTTTGACCCAAGCATTGTACAAGCTTACTTTTACCGGTATCGTGTTCCTCTCGTCAAGACGCATCGAATAAACTATAACTTGACCTTGAAAGGTCAACTTGAAAATTTGACCTCAGGTCAAGGTCATGACCTGACCGGAAAGGGTCATGTTGCATATCAGTCGATCCGTATCGTCGAGCTGAACACATCTAAGGCGTTTTCATCGCTCTAGCATGCCTCTATCAAAAGTTATTTGCGAAAAACTGTTAGATACCATTCGTGACCTAAGATGACCTCAGGGCATAAACAGGGGTCACGAACACCATTTTCATGTTCAGTGTGTCTAAACCACTTGTAATTCAGTGTTTGGGAGTGTTTATAATGTCTTTCGTCCAAAAGAGGCGCATTTCAATTTTCTCCCATTGACTTATAATGGGGAGGTCGCAAAATTGACCTGACCTTAGGTCATCGATATCAAAATTCTGAGATAAACATTTTGTACATACTATTGCTCTTAGCAATCGCTGAAAGTTTCAAAGCGATCGGTCACTCGGTGTAGCTGTGACAGACATTGAAACTTTTTATGAGGTGAGGTCACTTCAAGTGACCTGGTGACCTGACCTTGAATGACCTTGGTCTGAAATTTTCACAACATGTGTAGAATTGATGTATGATAAGGTGTACCAAAAACCACAAGGGGGGGGTGTTCAAACACCCCCCAGCAGGGCGCGGGTTAAAGCTCTTTCGCCAACTTCGCCTCAGATTTGACTTCGGGTCTATGGCATGTGTACCACAGAGGCCAAACAGATAAGCGGACGGATTTTGCCGAAACATTTGTTCTGTGACAACCTATGATTCAAAGAATGTGTACGATATTCATGTTATCACCATTCACCTTCGTGTTTGTTTCGTCGAAACGGGTCGCATGGCTTACAATTTGAACTTAAAAACTTAACTATAAAATTTGATATCAGGTAAAGGTCATGTCGACCTGACTGGAAAAGAACCTGCTGCATGTGGATCGATCTGTGTTGCTGAGCTGAACACACTCCAGGCATGCTGTCATCGCTCTACAGCGTCTCCATCAAAAGTTGTCGAAAATGTGTTAGATGACCAAATGACTGACCATTCGAGTCATTACTCATTAGTGGTCATTAGCTGCACCTTGTCCTTAAAATGACCAGAGGTGCCATGGCTACAAAAGTATCTAGCTTTTTTTAGCATATTCGTTCAAAACAGAGCGCATTCGTGCTTCATCCCAAATCTTATCATGATGATTGGTGAGGTCACATATTTGACCTGAATCACTTCTCAAATGTAAAATCCCAGAGTCATGAACTGTTGGCACTTATAATCCCATTCATTACACCAAATTCAGACTTATAGGAGATAATCTATAGGAATGACAAGATTGCAGTTTTTAGAGGCATTAAAACTGACCTTGACATGACATTGTGACCTGACGTCAGGTGACCTGTGCTTGATTTGTATGCCCGATGCAAATGTGATATACGATAAGATATGCCGCTGTTTTCGTGGCGCTGCGCGCCGAGGTTTTTCTCAACACACGAAAAAAACGGGAGTGTGGCTAAAAACACCCCTACCTATCAAGACGAAGACCGGGAACCCGACCCCCGCCCCCCCCCCCCCCCCCCACTGAAAAATCCGTGGCGACGCCCCTGACTACAGACCTTTGCGTGTGTGTTGCCTGTTGCTGTGGTAATGTGCAACCCACCTATTTAGATAGAGATTGTGAATGGACATTTGAAATACTCGTTTGATGATTGCGTAGCATGTGCCAAGAAGTTCAACTGAACTTCAAAACCTACCAATACCTGAAAACAATACAAAAACGTCGCTGACACTGTTCAATGGTCATGCCATTTCATGCATGCATATGCAATATGCATACTGGCAATGCTTGGTGCAAAGTTCGATAGACTCAACTTTGTCCGACTATTGAGAGCTGTAACTATCTAGCTATAGTATCCTCGAACAACTATTTCGATAATAAACTTGAGAGTTTACCGAGTAGTGTCAGTTGCAATACTGAATACTAGCCGTTTTCACGACGGGCTATCCGGCGAGTGCACCTAATTTGACCAAATCTGCACCTAAGCTCTTTTACAGCAAATATCTTTATTTGATGAGTATATTTCCGTGTTTCAATCGATGAATCTCTCTGATAATATGACAAAGCAGGCATATAAGCAATTAGTGCAACCCTAGCCGATGGCTACTAAGAGACACACTGAGCCTCATTTGACCAAATCTGCACCTAATCTGCACCAGATATGCACCAGATGTGTACCAGATGGCCGTCGTGAAAACGGTTATTGTGAATTGTACCTATTTCTCTTCTACTGTTTTCTGCGAACATAGCAAAACCCTTTATGGATACCAATGGACAACTGACCTGATATGTGTGATTCCACATTGGTAACCTCAATCCCCCATTTTCAGATGAGTCGTCAGTGGTACAGGACGGGTGGCGGCCACACCCGGTAATTCCGCCGTCCGTCGCCCGTCCCCGTCTGGTGGTGGTCGTCTCGTCAGCACCGCGCAGCGGCTCCAGCTTTCTAGGTGAGATACAGACTGGTATTATAGATGAAATCAAGTTTTGTATGTGAGCTCCAGCTTTCTAGGTGAGCTACAGTCTTATATACGTGAGCTCCAGCTTTCTAGGTGATTTACAGTCGCATGTAGGTGAGCTCCAGCTTTCTTGGTGAGCTTCAGCTTTCTAGGTGAGCTACAGACTTTTATGTATACGTGAGCTACAGACTCATAGGTGAGCTACAGTCTTTTATACGTGAGCTCCAGGTTTCAACTCATGATGTCCAGGCTTTCCATCGTCGTCTAGTTTTCTTTTATTTTCTTTCGGCATTTTCATCGTAAATGTGCTCAAACCACAGTCATTTCATATTGTGTTATCGATGATAACTAACACTTTTTACCAGTCTCACTTGACTATATAATTCTATGACCTCCGTATCATATGATGTGTAGCCATCCGTGACCCTTCTTATGGTGGAATAAGCGGTCAATCGGTTAGCTGTCGTCATCACATCCCGTGTTTTAAATAGGATCGTACAGTCTTCGTACCATATGGTGCTGTCGACACCGTTAGTAAGGGGTCAGGTCAACCATCTGATATGTGATGCATCGCTCGGCTGAAAGCTAGCTGAGTGCCAATATCCGTTTGCGAGGCATACGATTAACCCTGTATAGGCGATGGGTGAAACGGCGCTACGACAAGTATGTAAAAGAAGGTGAATTATCTTCGTTTTGTTCCTTTTTTCACCTACTCGATTCCTTATTCACTGGCGATCGGAGTGTAATCGCCACGCCGATTGTGGATTGCTCTTGATCGTCAATACATACATACATACATACATACTCCCCATACCATAGTTTCATTCGAAACTCCATAAGACCTTAAATTACCCGCGACGCCAGGACAGGACATCCGTTATCTTACACTTAATTAATTCACACAATGCCCAGTAAAATCTTATGAAACGATCCATTTATTTAATAATTTTAAAATGGCATTTAAAATTTCAAAATAATACATCAGGGTAAGCAATCAATGGGACATACCTGATCCTTGGCGGCGCTCCCATTCCACCAACTAATCACCTTATTAGTTTCAGAGGCAATACTCTTACAATACCTTATGATACTCACAAGCAATGACGTAACAATGACAATGTGAAACAGCAAAGTAAACGTTGTTACCTTGTCCACAGGTCAGCTAATGTCAAGTCCACATAGCGCACTGTATTTCTTCGAGCCTTTCTGGTTTTACAAACATCTTTACAACAATAAGACTGCTGCTCCGTACAACTATGAAGCAGCAAGCGACCTCCACAACCTGCTTACTTGCAAGTGAGTTTGGCGGAAGCCGTAAGCCGCACATCAGGTCAACCGAATAATAATCTGATCTTTCGAGTAATAAAAACTGAGAAAGCTGCTTTGTCTGATACGAGTACATATAGGTGGTGCGAACCCCAATCCGCCTCAACAGAATTATTAGACGCGTTTACATAGGGTTTGTTGCAAGCTTATATCTCCGTCCGTGATGTTGCAAAATATGCCAATGGTGCTGAACCATTTACAAAATGATCCCCTCTAAATATTTAAAGACCACTGCATCGAAATTATCGCCAAATTAACGAGCTAGAGCCTCGTCAAATATGCTATGTAAACCGGGTTATTGATGCTCTTACCAGATGTGCTGTAGTCTCTTACCATCATTCGTTTGAAATCAGGTAAACATCAGACGTACCAACTCTCTTTTACTACTCACTCCTATACTCATACTTACCGGTTTAGGCTTGATGCGTCATTACTTAGTGATCATGATCATTACTTAGCAATAGCTAATGATTACTATTCGATTCAACGGCTGCAAGCATTCCTCATGTCAGCTAGATGTTCACTCTTACATTCGCTTTTTATAATCAACTAGAGGGACAGCATTACGCGCAGCGTAAAGAGAGACAGCATTACGCGCAGCGTAATAAGTCAATTTAAAAAAAAAATCGGCCCAGTAGCGGCCGAGTTATGGCCAGAATAAATTTGGCGTCTCCAGGGGCGGATCCAAGGGGGGGGTCACATGGGTCATGGCCCCCCCTTGAGGCCCGGGGGCCCAAAGACCTGCCAGGGGCACCACCGGCCTATCAGGGGTATCACAGTCCTGACAGGGGCACCACAGGACCGCCAGGGGCACCACAGGCCTAGCAGGGACACCACGGGCCTGGTGCCCCTGGGCCCTGACAGGACTGTAACGCCCCTGACAAGCCTGAAGTGTCCCCGGCAGGCACGTGGTGCCCCTGACAGGCCTGAGGCGCCCCTGCAAGGCCGGTGGTGCCCCTGGCAGGCCTGTGGTGTCCATGGCAGGCCTGTGGTGCCCTTGCTAGGCCTCTGGTGCCCCTGACAGGCTTGTAATGCCCCTGGAAGGACTGTGGTGCCCCTGGGCCCTGACAAGCCTGAGGTGCCCCTGACAGGCCAGTGGTGCCCTTGCTAGGCCTGTGGTGCCCCTGTCAGGCCTCTGGTGCCCCTGACAGGCTTGCGGTGCCCTTGGAAGGACTGTGGTGTCCCTGGGCCCTGACAAGCCTGAGGTGCCCCTGACAGGCCCGTGGTGCCCTTGTTAGGCCTGTGGTGCCCCTGGTAGGCCTCTGGTGCCCTTGCTAGGCCGCTGGTGCCCCTGGCAGACCTCTGGTGCCCTTGCTAGGCCGCTGGTACCCCTACGCCCGGAGAGGACTGGTGCCCCTGAAAAGTCTGAAGTGCCCCTCGGCAGGCCCGTGGTGTCCCTGACAGGCCCAAGGTGCCCCTGCGAGGCCGGTGGTGCCCCTAGCAGACCTCTGGTGCCCCTGGCAGGTCTGTGGTGCCCCTGGCAGGTCTGTGGCGCCCCTGGCAGACCTGTGCTGACTGGTGCCCCTGCTAGGTCGCTGGTGCCCCTCACAGACCTGTGGTGCCCCTGGGCCTTGATAAGCCTGAGATGCCTGGCTATGACAGGCTCGTGGTGCCCCTGATAGACCAGTGGTGCCCTTGCTAGGCCTGCAGTGCCCCTGGCAGGCCTCTGGTGCCCCTGCTACCCCTGCGCCCGGAGAGGACTATGGTGCCCCTGAAAAGCCTGAAGTGCCTCTCGACAGGCCCGTGGTGCCCCTGGGCCTTAACAGGCCCAAGTTACCCCTGCGAGGTCGGTGGTGCTCCTGGCAGGCCTGTGTTGAATGGTGCCCCTGCTAGGCCGCTGGTGCCCCTCACAGGCCTGCGGTGCCCCTGGAAGGACTGTGGTGCCCCTGCCCCTAGGGGTGCTCATGGGCCCAACAGGCCCGTTGTGCCCCTGACAGGCCTGTCGTGTATACTTGCTAGACCTGCGGTGCCCCTGCTTCCTGGCAGGCCTGTGGTGCCCCTGGCGGGCCTGTGGCGCCCCTACAAGGCCGTAAGTGCCCCTGGCAGGTTTGTGGTGTCCCTGGAAGGACTTTGGTGCCCCTGACAAGCCTGAAGTGTCAAGGACAGACTCTTTAGAGTCTAAAGGGTAGGGGCGAACTTGACCCTGGCGTCTAAAGTTTAGACGCCAGGGTCAAGTTCGTCGGACTGACAACGATTTGCTTACCTGATAACGTTCCTGGTAAGTACTCATTACTCAGCGTCCACAACACAACATATATACACATAGCACATTCATATATACTTGCTTACAATTGGTAAATGTGGTTGTGGCTAAGAGTTAAGATACTGACTAAAAAAAAAATAAAAAGAAAAAAAAACTGAAAATGGGGGCACCGCCAAAATGAAGTGGACGAAATCCGTTGAGTTTTTAATTTTGGGTATAGGTAGGGGCACCACTTCGATTCATGACCCTCCCCTTGGAGTTTTCCTGGATCCGCCCCTGGGCGTCTCCTCTTGGCCGGCGGTGCTCTGTTCCGGTATTCATTGCCAAAGGTCAATGACCTGCCGGCTCTGATTTCGCTCAGTTTTCGCAGCGAACAATCTGAGCCTAGAGCACGTGCTCTCTGCTCGGCGCCGGCCGCGGCCCAAAATGCTGCAAAGATGCGCCCGCCACGTGCACACCGCTGCACGCACCCCCTCCAAAATTTAATACAACAAACAGATGCACGCGTCCGACTTGCGCCCAAAATTCCACCCCCGTAGCCCGCACCGTTCCGGAGCAATAGCCCGCCAAGCGTGACGGACGCGTTACATACATACATACGGACATTTTGATTTTTATATATGTAACTAGAGGGACAGCATTACGCGCAGCGTAAAGAGGGACAGCATTACGCGCAGCGTAATGAATCAATTTTCATTAAAATCGGCCCAGTAGCGGCCGAGTTATGGCCAGAATAAATTTGGCGTCTCCTCCTGGCCGGCGGTGCTCTGTTCCGGTATTCATTGCCAAAGGTCAGTGACCTTCCGGTTCTGATTCCGCTCAGTTTTGCAAGCGAAGAAACTGAGGATAATGCGCGTGCTCTCTGATCAGCGCCGGCCGCGGCCAAAATTCCGCAAAGATGCGCCCGCCACGTGCAAACCGGCGAGCGCACCCCCACCAAAATTTAATACAACAAACAGATGCACGCGTCCGACTTACGTTCAAAGTTTCACCCCCGTAGCTCGCACCGTTCCACAGCAATAGCCCGCCAAGCGTGACTGACGCGTTACATACATACGTACAGACATTTTGATTTTTATATATGTAACTAGGTGCCGAGCATTACGCGCAGCGTAATTCAATTTTAATTAAAATTGGCCCAGTAGCGGCCGAGTTATGGCCAGAATAAATTTGGCGTCTCCTCCTGGCCGGCGGTGCTCTGTTCCGGTATTCATTGCCAAAGGTCAGTGACCTTCCGGCTCTGATTTCGCTCAGTTTTGCAAGCGAAGAAACTGAGGCTAATGCGCGTGCTCCCTGATCGGCGACGGCCGCGGCCCAACATGCGGCAAAGATGCGCCCGCCACGTGCAAACCGCCGAACCCACCCCCTCGAAAAGTTGATACGACAAACAGATGCACGCGTCCGACTTAAGTCGAAAATTTCACCCCCGTAGCCCGCACCGTTCCGGAGCAATAGCCCGCCAAGCGTGACTGACGCGTCACATACATACATACATACATACATACATACATACATACATACGGACGTTTTGATTTTTATATAGGTAAATTCAGAACCAAATTATTCTCATCCTTAATGACATTGCTTTGGCTCAGGCTGGCGTTCAACCCACCCAGAAAGCCGGTGGAGGCTAGTCTCTACTTAGGAGACCGTTTGGATGGCTTGGTGACCTTTATTACTTGAACACTCAATTCTAACGGGATAGGGTGGTTGCTACGGCGGCGAACCAGCAGAGGTGTTTAAATCAACGCAAAGTCTTAACCCTCGCCGGACCTATTGGTTTTTTACATACGCGCCGGCCGAGGGGGGGGGGCGGGTACGACCCCCCCTCGCCGTTTCGCCCCTGGTGGAGCTAGCGCGTCGCGGAAAAAACGAGCGTGTGCGCCGTTACGAGACGCAGAGATTGGTACCCGATTTTAAGGTCCTAGGTCAACCGGTGACCTCTGAGGTCAGGTCAAGTGCCCCAAGGTACGGTTCAGTTTTTGGTGAATAACTTCGCAAAAAACGGCCGCAGAGCGCCGATTTTGGCAGCATCGTGTTCGTCTCGCTCAGGCGCGTCGAATGATATACTTTTTGTCCGGGTCAGGTCAACTTGGGGTGTTGACCTCAGGTCAAGGTCAGGTCAGCACCCCCAGGTCACGAAGTTGGTCAAAAGAGGTCATGTCGCATATCATTCGATTCGGCAGGTCTTCCTGAGTCCATTGGTGGCTTTCCCGACTCGCTAGCTCAATTTGATCAAGAGTTATTGACGAAAAACTAATATGACCTTGATGACGTCATAAATGACGTCACGCAAGGTCAACATTGCAAAAGTGACGCATCTAACCTTGCAAGGAGTGCATCAAATCACGATTCTGTGTGCTTGAGATAGTTAGAGATCGTTCCCGGCGCCAGAATAGCAGTTTGAATTTTTCCCCATTGACTTATAATGGTGAGGTCACGAAAATGACCTGACCTCATATGACCTTTAGGAAAAATCCGAGATATACAAGTTGTGGGACTCATAATGGATACTAGATCCTGCAAGTTTCATTTCCCTGTGACATCTCCTCTGGCAGTGAGGGCGTTGCGAAGTTGCGACATCTGAAGACCGTGCAGAGGTTCACTTATGACGTCATAGGTCAGTGACCTGACCTGACCCAAAAATGCGGTTGGTGTCAAAAGATCCGGCTTGGATCAAAGGTCAGGTATGCCAAGTTTCAGCTCGCTATCACCAGCGTGTTCGGAGCTATCGCGAAAAAAACCCTATGGGGGGGGGGCGGCACCCGCCCCCCCCCTCGGCCGGCGAGGGTTAAGTCTCAAACTTAACTTCTCACCCCAACGGTCGTGAAATGGTCTAGAAAGATACAACAAAATATATCTTATCATCTAAATCAGTCAAGCAATACGATCTCAAGAACGACATACCTAATTCGCTCCCTAACTCTCGCTCACTCTCGCGTTTTTTTCCCGTTCCCCAGTTTGGACGCCCTGCCGCCCATGTTTGCCGAGCGAAAACACCGTGGCTTCATCTGGAGGAAGCCCAAGGTACTGAAGCGCGACCCCAGTAGAGCGCACCTGACTTCACTGTGTCTCAGCACTTCAATACGTGTTATCAAGACGATCCGACCCCGGCTGGCAAAAGTCTTACCTCTTCTGGAGGTAAGTACTTGAAACAGGAATTGGTTAACTTTATAGGGATGGAGTGGGGCTTGGTAGAGGGTTTTTTATGGAGTTTGTTGCCCATTTCCTATGGCCAAGATTATATAGTGAGCCAAACGATTGGCTAGGTGCATTTAAGATAACTTGTTCCTGGTTTTGTCTATGAATTGAACATCTTCAAAGAAGTCCATCCTTGTGGTAGGTGTAGGTCTATATGTGCATTTGCATTTCGTGTCTGTGCGAGTTGTTGGGTACGTGCATTGCAGCTGAAAAATGCACAAAACGTTCCTAAATCACGCTGTTCCGTGTTCAAGCTCAAAGCATAACATTCATAACAAATTGTTATCACACTCTCATCCGGCGTCCACATAACTCCGATCCACATTTCCACTCTCAGCGGACGGATCTGGATGTGCGGGTCATCCACCTGGTGCGCGATCCACGTGCGATCCACAACTCGCTCGTGTCGAAACATTACGCATGGCCACAGCGACGTAGGAACGCCTCACTGCTGTGTGAGGACATCAGAGACGATCTACGGGCCTCTCAGAGCATCAGCAGTGACCGCTGGACGGGCGTGAGGTGGGTCTCTGAGATCTAGAGGAGGCTAGAACTGGGGAACTGGGGGAAAACTGGGGGAAACTGGGGGGGGGAGGAATGGATATTAGGGAGTTCGTTATGTAAATATGTTCGGGAGATTACGGCTCAAGTATCTGTGAAGGGTAGAAGTGTATGTGGGACTAAACGACACCACTGTCAAAACCACGACAAAGACTAAGTTTATAAATGCCACGGAAATTTCGTTTTCTTGTAAGGTAACTTGTAGTATCCCGAGGTCAAGCTTTTGTTCTTTTTCACCCATAGCTGTTAGATCTCGATAAGGATGGACTCGATAATCAAATTAATTCGTTTTTTTAGTGTCGCTTGTTTTATGAGTCAGACGTCAAGTGAGTTATACTGTTCCGCTGTTTCACTTGGAAACAGATCTGAAAGCTCTAAGGTGTTATTGTCTCTGCGGGTCTGGTCTACATAAAAAAATTGTCTTCGTCATTTGTGTCCTATTTATCGTTTGAATTTGTTTCTTCGTACACACAGGTACGAAGATTTGGTGGAAAGACCAGAAGAGGAGGCCAAACGTCTCTTTGAGTTTCTGCAGCTGCCACTAACAAAGGAGACGTCAGACTTTATACGAACACATGCTCAAACTCAAGACTCTCCTAAAGGTCCTGACCCTGCGGGAAATTCCACGAATGAAAACAGCGGTCAAACGGGCGGAAACCGTGGCCAGGATGTCGCTGACGGAACCAAAGATGAAGAAACTCAAACAGTGGTACAAGAAGAAAACAACCGCAGCCAGAAGCGAATAGCAACAGCTGAAGACAAGCCCTCACCACTGACAGAGGCCGATCATCATGGCCAACTCCGAAACACCGTGAAAGGGATTGCTGAGGGAATGGGCCGAATTTCTGAAGCAGTGAACAGTATTTTCGCAGCTGTGGGCGGCTCAACTGACGAGAAAGGATCGCCTGGTTCGGGTCGATTCGCCCGAAGGTTGCATAGGTACGTAACAGTAGTCATGCACCTTTTCATGGTCATAATTCATGTCAACGTTTGATTGTTACGTTTCCTTTACTTCTCAATCGTAATGGTATACTTTTCTTTGAAGTGTCGACAATTTACAGGCATGAATGTAGAGCCTCAGTACATAAATAATGATTCGGTGATCGAATCACGACCTTTCGCTTCACATAGGAGTTGTGTAGTTTCAGAGACAAGAAATGCATGCTGTATGATATGACTACAATCCATGCATGTATGAGGCATATAATAATACAAACGGTAACGTCGTAAAGCTGCCACGTCACGTGGTTTGACATTTCTGACAGAGCACGCGTTCTTTTACAGGTCCAATGTATCGGGACACATTCGTCCTGATGCAAGAAACACCATTGCTGGGGCCACACGAAGGCGACGAGACACTGCACTGGTCAGGACATATCGCGGCACACCACGACGCCTTCTAACAATCGGTGAAAAAGACGAGCCTATCCAACAGAAACTAAAACCAAAGACCAGAGGGAGTCGAGCGCCCACCTTCCGCCGTTTGACCAGAAATGAGTATGTCAAAGCCTTGAAAAGACGGGAAATCTTTAAGAAGAAAAATAGACGCAGTTATTATTTTGATACTGTGCGAGGCGCAGAGTTCGATAGACTGCACTGGATTCGTGAGCTGCCTCCTGCCGAGCGCAACAACGTTGAAAATGTATGTGAAGACGTGTTGGCTAGTCTAGGCTATCCGCTTCGCTACCCAGATGAGAATAATGGGCTGTGATCAATTCAAGAGCAATTTATCAAGGGCAGTATCAATTAAGCTGGGTGACGATCAGGTTTTACATATAACCTAGAAATGTGATATTAGCAAATATGCAGTTCAATGGTTAGAATCTTCGTCATGACTAAGTACATGGTTAGATTGCCAAACATAATTGCCAAGAGGTTGGCATGCATTTTTATATAGGAATTTAAAGCTAGGAACCATTTCCAACAAGTGAAACCCAGAAATACGTAACATGACGTCAATGTAATGATATTGCTATTTTTCTGATGAATGTGTATAGTCCAGGGTCTTACATCAAATTGGTGACATCTTACACTTGTCCCTGTGGTGACCACGTGATTTAGTGTCTTGTGCCTCACTTTTTGGACTGCAGGGGGTTTCTTGTGATTGCTTTGTTGTCTCATTGTGCAGAAACCCCAGATTTTAGGGGTCTGTAATGCCTCGCTTTCGGGATATGTGTGATTAGGTGGCATTTCCTATTGCATGTTTGAGCAACTACGCTTTAAACAAGCGTGAATGCGTGATTGTGTGTGTATGTATATTTATGAGTATATCATTATGTGGGTGGTTGCCAAGCTATATTGTACACGCTTGTGTTTCACTTCTTTGCCTTTTTTCATAATACCACGGTATATAAATATTGTTCGCATGTTTGACGGCTAAAAACACAACGTGTCTTGTATAACATGTGTGGTATCGGTCAACGTGAAGTGCCTGCTTTATTCTGCTTTAATCGTAAACGGTAGTGCAAACGAATGTATTCTTTCATAGTTTGACGTAACGTTATTTGATAACGTTATTTGACGTTATTTGTTCTTCACAACTAACCGCGTTCGTTTTGATTTTTTCGCACAAATAATTGGTAAAGGGTCAAAATATGTAGGTGTACCTACTGACTAGTACTATGTTAATGTGAACATCAAAAACGAAAACATCCACACCGAACAGTCGTATTTCAACGTTCATCGCATGTAGATGACGTCATGGCTCCGATGCCGACATCCAGCCACTCAGTCAAAAGGTAAGCGCTCGTAAATTGCATTTGCAATTGCTGAAGATTACATTGCGTACGTTTGATACAGGCTATCACGGTATCATCAATTCGCGCTTTGCATCGACCCAGAGCTGAAGGCTTGGCAAAGACTGTACTCATTTGTCATCAGATTTCTTTTTCTTCTGGTGTCGATTTGCTTTTGCTGGAACACTCGGAAAGGTCAAGTAAAGTTTGTTCGCTAGCATTCAAACACGTTATTCTTGGCGTTGGCCAGACCCACATGACCTTAACATGCATACAATGACACATCAATAACGTCACCCTCCTATTTCGACGAAACAGTAACCCTTGTCCCGTACATTTATGTTTTCAAATGCGTCGTTTCGTCCGTTTTATTCCATTATCATCGACTGGGTGATAACTCGTCTCTGAGACCGGTGTGGAACAACGTCTCAGCAGCGACACCAAAAGAGCTTTACCAGCCCGACTCCTGAAGCACCTGAAGGCGAATCACCTGAGGGACTTCAGAAACGGCAGGTCATCAATGCAGGTACGTATACAGCGCGGATATTTTGATTGCTGACATTCTGTGTCTCTGCGTCTCATTCTGTGTCTCATATTATTATGTGTCTCTGGGCACTTTGGTGGGCTGAAGCAGCACTTGTCAACGAGGTACCGTATACTGTCTCAAAAGAGCTGATGGAAACGATCAATACCCGATGCTCTGCTGTTTTTTTTTTTTCATGGGACCGTCCGGCTGTCTTTGTCGAGCCGAGACTCATTGCTTATGTCTGTCTGAAACTCGTGTGTGCCTGTTGATACTCCCGCGGTGTCGGGGATGGGAACCCAGTGTGTTTGAACAGTTCTACTTTTCAAATATTCGCTAACACAACTTCAGTACAATTACCTTTGTAAAATGTTCGAACCTTGAATAATTTTTGTTGACCAGGTAGCCATCTCTCATGTCAGACACCATCTCCGCTGATCAGCAACCGATGCTCCCCTGGATTTCATGCCTAGCGCCGCCTCTGCCAGTCGCTGCCACCCGCCCCAGTTGCCGTGCCTGGCGCCGCCCCTGCGACTGTCTTGCCCGCAGGCGGTGACCGGTCGGCCGGAGCGAGGCTGGCCGCCGCGCGCGCGAGCTTTTGCTATGCGGGCGCTCGGTGCGGCCGGGCGGCTTCCGACGTGGTGACTCTGGAAGAAATTCAGATAATGCCTGTAATAGGTGAGAAAAGATTTAGCTTTGCGGACGTGGTTTTGTGTGTTAGTAACAGTTTTACATTGTTACTTTTTGAGTAAATTACATTGCGAACTTTTAAACAGTAGGCTAAGCGCTGCTAAGCAAACGAGTAAATGAGAACTAAATATGAACGTATCTCTTTAGCGATGCATGCTAATGTACTTTAGTGTGGTAGGTGAACAAAGCATATTGCCATTCAAGTATTTCTTGATCTCGTGATTGTTATTTCTATGTTCATATGTCCATCGGCGGCGGACGAAGGGAGCCATCGGTGGTAGACCGCCATCGTCACCGCCGTCCTGACTGTATACCAGAAAAACAGCGGCGGACCGAGACAGCCGCAGAGCGGCACCGGGCGGCCACTTCGGAACGGAACGGTGAGAAAGGTACCGTAAGGTGGGGCTATTTGAGACAGTGGGGCTGTTTGAGACAGTATTTAAAACTGCCATAAAATAAAAACCACTTAAAATTTATGCTTAATTTTTTGCCCAGGCGATTTACTGCTCGATTCCACACCTTCCTGAACAAAAATATCACACACAAATCAAACGATCTTCATTTTATAGCGTTTTTTAATACTGTCTCAAATAGCCCCACTGTCTCAAATAGCCCCACTTTACGGTATGTGTTTTGGTGCTTGTAATGGCAAAGTAAACAATTAACCGTCGATATGTGACCGTCTATTTATCTTTTGTGGCATGTAATGCTGTGTGTTTGCCGTGATGTGCGGCCGTATTTTTACTGGTATGTGTGGCCTTTATACGTGGTTAAGGTAAACATTTATTTGTATTTGATAAATATTGTCTATGTATTTGACGTGAGCGTCTATTTGATGGGGTAATTGTAAGTTTTTTTACGCGCTATATGTGACCGTCTATTTGATTTGATATGCGTATTACCATCCATTTTCTTTGAATGTTACTGTCTGTTTTTTTGTGGTATATGATACTGTCAATTTAATGTGGTATGTGTGACCGTCTATTTGTCGTGGAACGCGTGACCGTTTTTTATGTGGTATGCACTACCGTCTATATTGTGGCACTGTTACCGTCTATCTGTTGCAGAATGTGTGTCAGTCTATTTGATTGTGTTACCATCTATTTTTCGTGGTAT